TAGGCTATGACACTCAGAATGTTAATATCATTTTCCAAGATGCATTTTTAATTCCAATTTTTCTTTGCATGAAGGCTCCGAGTCTGACGAAAGCTGACAAGGAGAGCAAGCAGCCACTTGCCACAGTCAGTTTTAGGGCTAGGCCGGTATTAAAACACGTGTTCGTTCGTTCTTTTATCTTCCTGGCCTCCTCTGGAGAAGCTCTCAATCCTTTTTACTCTTGTTAGCCAGCTAATTGCACTGGTAACAGGAAGAAGGCACATGCAGATCGAGCAGGGAGTCCAGTGACGATAGACTGGTGACCTTGCAGATTGATGTCTTAATTAGTTCAAAATTGCCATCCTGTTGTTGTGGGTGTGATAAGGAGGGATGAGGAAAGATGGAGCACAGACAGACCGCGCAGAGTTTGAGGTATTTAGCACACAATGAACCTATAATAATTTATATTTTTGCCAAATGATGTTGGATCTTCATGGCCTGGTAGCAAATGCTTTGTGGACCAGTACCAGTCTGCAGCCTTTATATTGGGAACTACCACATTAAAACACTAACATTTCTGTAGGAACAAAACGAGATCAAAACTAATTAAGCTGAGGCCTTATAATCTATAAACTATCAATCTCTCCCATCTGTCACTACAGCCAAAATCTATCAAGTTTTTCCCCATAGCTCTTCTGGGTTCATTTAGTCTTTTCAAATAGCCATGAGTGTCCAAGAGGCTTAGTGAGTGATACTACATCAAGACTTTTCCCCCCACTGTGTTTGATTCATTTAAGCCCAGGACTCGAGACGTCTTGGCGTCTCTCCAGTAAACTTTCAGGGTGCCGGGTTATGGATGACCGTGGGGCCTCCCTGCTGCACATTCCATTAAAATCTAAACAGGGAACATTATACAGCAGAGATGGCAGAGGGAACAAGGGGGAGAGGAAGAAAGGAAGAGGAACAGGAAGAAAAAAAAAAAACAGAAGGGGAGAAAAGAGAAGGCTACAGGAAAGTAAGTGGGAGCAAACAGAAGAGTTGCCGGACAAGGTGAAATTAGGACATGGTGGCTAAAGAGGCTAAAGAGAAGTAAAAGGTCTAAAAAGCAAAAAGAGAAAGACGAGTGCAAGAAGGAGGTGGGAGGGTTTTCTGGGCTGGTACTGGACATGTAACTAGCCAGTTCATGTATGTCTGATAAGACACCAAGAATGGAAGTCTTAAGCTGGACTGGACATTCTCTTAAATAAAATACTTGAGATAGCACATGGGATGTCACAACTAGTCTGGGGAAACCCAAGTCCAAAAACCACAGCATCTCTTAACAATTAACTGCATAATGTATTTTTTTTTTTTAACAAATGCGGCATTTCCTGTTGCAGAAATATTCCAAACATAGCTAAAAATATCATTGTATGTGCCTGTTGAATGTAACTACCACAATTATAAATAAATGAAAAGCTGGAGCGGAGTCAAGATTATTGAGAAATGACTAAATTGATCCATTTAAATGTGTCAGAGCTTGGGAAATGTGTTGAAATCTTTGTTATTCATGCAACATTTTTGCAAAATCTAATAAGAAGTGGGTGAAGTGGGCAAGATATAGAAACGAGTTTGAATAACGTCAGAGAAACCTGTTATTCACAGAGCATTTTTGGGAAGGTTCTGAATCATGGCGATTGCTTCCAGGTGTTTCAGAGAGCCAGTAAAGCAGAAAGGCCCTGTAGGAATCACAAATATGATGACTGTCTACACCTGTGGCATAGCCCACAGAAAAGACTCCATACAAACTGATGTTGAGGAAAGGCATTACTATTCTAGACATATCTTTGAAAACATCAACACAAATAAAACTACATTTATCTAGCACTTGAAGATGATAATAAAACAGAATCCTGCATTTTGTAGAAACCAAACAGAAACACAACTATGAAGTTAATTTCAATGATCAAATGGCTATTAAAGAGCAGCTGAAACTATAAGGGTTAGGGTTAAAACTATTTACAATGTCACGCAAATTAAATGTTGGAAGAGACTTTTTCTTCCATCTAGCTTATAATTTACATGGGGCTAGAGAGAGTGAGAGTTATATTTCAATTAAAAGCATAGCACAGAAAACATCAGTGACTGAAATGTTTTTACATGCTGGCAAATAACACAACCTTCGAAGGGGGATACACTGCTGTCTGTAAATCAGTCTACTCTTGTCTTGCTGTCTGTGTCTTTACTGATCATATTTGAACAAAAATTTCACACGCATGGTTAAAATTTTACAAACTTGCTTAAAAAGGTCCACTCACACACTCACTGTTTCTTTCTAACTGAAAAACTGTCAAAGCCGTGACCTGCCCTACTAGAACTCTAATGTCAACAAGGTCAAACAAACTTCACAGAAAAATGTCAACGCACAAGTACATGCATAGCAGAAGCGTGTACTTATTAATGCACCCCCACAAACCTACTAAGTATGTGTCTAAAACTGAAATGTAGCCTGTCTTGTCATTTTATTAGAAGTGAAAGTGAGTGACGGAAAACCACATGTCCTCTCCAGAGAACAAACAACTCCTCTGCAAAAATGTAACACAACTGTGTCCTTATTTGACTTTCTCTAACTCACTATTCTTGGAGGATCATACTCAAGTCTCTCAGCTCACAAGAGATTATCTTCAACAAAAACCTATATACTTAGACCCAACTACAATAAAAGATATATACTGGAGGTGCAAAAACCATTTCAGCAGTTGACAGCTAGATTATGAGTTTGAGATGTAGAAGACGGACTGTCAGTGCATATGGTCTGTACTTACACTCTGTCTCTCACACATCTGATGAAGGTATGCCCTCCCGCCAACAATGACTATCTGAGCATTGCGTGGGTTGCTCAGGTACGCTGCCAGTTGCCTCTGCCTTGATCGGTACCAGCACACATAGAAGAATATCTTGATGATGATGAATATGATGACAACTCTGTAAAGGAGAGAGGAAAAGTATACAGGATGGGCAATGGGAAAGGAGTGGACAGCTTTCTGCATGAATTTTCAATTCCACTTTTATTTTTATTTTTTTAAAGAAAAAAAAAAGAGAGAGATGTAATTATAACTACATAATTTATACTTACATGTACCAGTACAGCTCCATTTTTTGTGAGATGTCACTGAGTTGAGGCTCTCATAGCTGAGGAATAACTTGCTGATCCCTGGCCAAAATCACAACCTGCCCTGAAAACAGTAACAATTTCGAGTAATGTTTACCTTAGTGGCAACATCCATTACCTTTCATTATTTAATTACTATCTATATTATTATAAATGAGTAAAACTGAGTGACGTTTATAAAACCAGAAGCTTAAACTATCTAACCACTAGAGCTAGGCTGGGTAAAATGTACAAGCACTTAACTATAACTTAAAACAGATGGTAACTTTAGCACGACGACTCTACCGTTAACTCAGCTATCTAACTGAGCTAAAAAACAATCACATGAACAGGATTTTGAACTCACTTTATAGCGACCCCTTGACTCTCTGAGTTATGTGGCAAGGTGTGCCATTTCCCTTGTCGTTTCTGGGATGTGATGCGAGTAGAGCTCCAGGAACCAGCTGAAGCTACCGCTAGTTTAGCTAGGCTATCGCGTAGCAGGCCACAACGACAACAACACCCGCTACTCTATTTACCCACGCGGAGAACAAAACAACAACTGATGTTGACCAGCTTTATGAACATACCTTCTTGTTATTACACACAAGCTTACTAGCTAGTTACTCGGAAAGCTTCCCGTTTACCTAACACTGAAAAAACAACTAAAGTAATCTTAAGTAGTTTAGCTAGCGTTTACTGACTTAGCACATCCCTGTGCGTTCAAGGCTGCCTTTGGTTTCACAGTGGGCGGTGTTCTCAAGATTGTTGCCTTCGGTGCTTCCCGTAGACTGCCACTCCCTCAGTAGAGTCCTCACAAATAATCTGATGGTTTTTTATGTTACTTTCAGGAATTGTATCTCGAAATTATACTTTGGTGACGGTTGTACAGGTAAGCAGCAAGGAGCTAGTTAATGCCTCCATAGGACAATGGGAATGAGAAAGCCCAGCTCACATGGGTTCATAGTGGATTTTCATTAAAAAAGTATGTCTCCTAGTTAAAAAAAATATCACAAACAATACAACTGCCAAATGATTATAAATAGCAAAAAGTTCTCTTCCCTTTCGAATATCATATCTAGGGAGATTTGTTGACTTAAGTAATAAAAAAGCGATCTCTCCCATTTATTGCTAGGGAGTTTTATTGAGGTCTATCATAAATAATAATATTTCCGAGGGTCTAGGAAGGTAGCATACTATTCGTCGGACAAAGGGCTAATAATGGGACCAAATATATGTATATAAAAACAAAATGTCATAATAGTATACACGTATACAATATCAACGTATGAAAAACATGAATAAACAACTATAAAGCGAAACAATTCCAAGAGTTAACAAGGCGTTCATTGTTTTAATCAGTTTCTCAGATAATGTGGAGTCTTCCCCCGATACCCTCCAAAAGCTATTGAAAAACTATTCAAAATAGGCCATCCATTCAAATACATAAAGATATGAATGAATGAGAACAGAATAACACAAAAGGTCGTATCAGGTTGTCCCCTCTTGATTCTGTGCCTCCATCTAGTGGTCATTAATTTGTATTGCAACCGTCCATTTCAGAAAGGCAACCAAATGCAGAATTTTGCAATTAAATGAATACCAAAATAAACATGATTATTTAACAAAGCAAATCCATCAGAATATAGAGAGGGTGCATGCGACTGAGATCATTTTTAAGCAGAATAAAATGAATCTGCAACATTTCCAGTGTTTTTTCGCTGTGGAGATTGCTCTGTCTATGCAAGACAATTTTCAGGGTAAAAGCTTTTTTTAAAAGTACCACCAATGTCCAAATCAAACCATACATACATTTTAATAAAGAAAAAAGATAGTGACGTGCATAGTTTCAGCCCAACATTGTCAAAAAAATAAAACACTGATATTTTCGTGTATGTCACAAACATTTTTATTACAATTTAAAAGCATCTTTTATTACACGTTGCAGCAAGATTCATCCTTCTGTCTCTCAGTCAAAAATAAAAATCAAAACAAAATATTTGTAGCACATCTGTATGTTTTATGAAGCAGAAACACATAAGAGTCAAAAGATCATTTTGTATCGGTGAAGAGACTGATTTGCAAAACTCTTCACCAAATGCCGACCATTGTTGTAGCAAAGTCTAAGTTAAGGTGTCTATTTAAATCAGTTATAATTGTTGATGTTTAACATGAAAACTTTTAATAGCAAATTTGTCAAATAACACAAACCTGCCTTTTAGAAACACATTATTCACATTTTTTCATCCATCCATCATCTTTCTTATCGGTTATCTTCCACAACGATGGTCCGTCTTGGGTACGTGTCCACTTCCACAAATATGTAACGAAACTCATATTTTCCAGTTTCATTATTCTGTAAAATAACAACAAGTTATTTGTACCTCAACTTGGTGGATAACGGTAAAAACTCACTACTGTACATTTCCTCTCTGCTGTCACATGTGAAATTACTTAGATTTTAAACTTACACTTACACTAGAACAGTGCCACTTTTACTGACCTTTAGCATTTTACATCTATTCTGTAAGCTGCCTTTGAACAAAGAATCAGAAAAATACCAACCTCTTTTGATTCTGAATGTACAGTTCCTTTGAGACCTGGTTCTGAGCCTTCGATGTAAAACTTAAGTCTCATATGCTTCAGTCCGTCCTTCAGGTACTCCAAGTGGCTAAGTGACAGACACACGTGTTATAATTCTTTAGTATCACCATCAAACGGATGATTACATAAGGACAGTAAAACTTATTTAAAGCTCAAATCTATAATATAAGAAAGCTTCTTTGTTCTACTGTTCATTCAGTGACATATTAAAATGAGAATATGAGAACTACAAGAGTCAGGCCTTAACTGGACAGAAATGTGTAACTTTAATCTACCCTCAAGTACTAATCGTAATAATCAACAGCTTGTTTACACATTTGCTTTCTGATCAATGGCAATCAAAACTAAATTCCTACCTGACTTGCTGCCTCCTTCCTCGACGGGTGGTCTCACCATAACATTTGATAGGCTCCCCAAATGCACCAATCACCTACATTGTCAACACAAATGTTAGGTATCCACAGGAGATATAAAGCGGTACTTGTCCCAATAAATCCATACATTCTATGTACCAATAAAGTTGTGCGCTTTACTGAACATTTTAGGAGGGTGATACTGTTTGCCCTCAGCAGTCAGTCCTCTCATTCTTACTTCTGGGTGTGACTTGACTTTGTCGAAGGCTTTCCCATAGATTTTATTTGGGCTGGAGGAAGAAAACAGCTCCTGGAACACCACATATAACAGCCCACCTGAGACACACACAGGACAAAAACATTTAAACCTGTTTTGACTTTGAAATGAGATGAAAACGATAACTTTGCTGGTTTGTGATGGCAAATTAGATGAAATCTTGATCTTTTAGTCACCTGTCACTCCAAGCCCGATGAGTACAACTATCAAATAGGTGAAGTCTCTGCCAGCGTCCTTCACTGCAGAAGGGCATTAGGTTAGTAACATACTGTAATATTATAATTAACTGCTGTCCAGTGTCTGGCATAAGCCTTTTGAAAGCAAGAGGGAAAACAACCATATTGTATTATATTATATATATTTTATTATATTTATATCAGTAGTTGCTTTGACAGTGAAAAATATATTATGCAATTGAGCCTCCTGAAATTAGAGCTAAAATTCAGAGAGGACACAGTCCCTTGCTTACCTTTTTGAGCAGCTGAAGGCTTTGGGCTCCCGCTTTGATACCTGGAAACGGACTTGTCTCTGTCCTCGGGGCTGCTCTTATTTCTGGCTGTAAAGTCGAGAGAAATACCTCTCAGTCTCTGCGCTTGTGTGAAGCAGCTCAGCGCTGGCAGGACACACGGAGGAGCCTCCACTCTTCTGAGGAAGGTCGGTCTGGACAGGGTTGACACCGTCCTGTGTGTGTGGATAAGCAAGCTAACCTGCGTGAGTTTACATGTCTGCACGGCGTACTGTGTCGCTGTCAGTTGCAAATGTCGATGCAGGGCTTTGAGTATCTGTGTGTAAGCCATGATTATGTCCTCTGCGGGTTAGCTTAAACTCTTATGTTACCAGCACAGCCAGCTAGCAACTTAGTTTATTCTTTAGCACGGTCGACAGATAAAACAGCTTAAGCCGAGACAGTAACCTACCTACATTATAGGACATGAATGCACAACTTCCAACACTTACAACTTAACTACTGGAAGCTACACACTGGACTGGTGTGTGTCAAACCAATATGTATTCCTGAGTCGCATACTTTTGTCGTCACTCATTCATAGGGTTCATGGGAGACTGAGTTTTTAATGCAACCAACCGCAACATGGGCATTTTTTTTTTAGAAGGCCTGCAGAAATTTTCGTCCAGACACCGCAAATAACGTCTCCAAATTATCTATTAAGCTACATGAATTTTTACATTTTATATTTTCTGTTTTATATAAGTTTTATTTTCCAACAAAAAATAAATTATGCCTCTCAGCCTTCCCCTCAGCCTTGTGGTGAGGAAATAGCCTACAAAATATTTTATGTTATTTGTTAGGTGGCCTGAAAACAGTCATATTTCCATTAAGTATACCCCAAAACATACCAAATTTAGTCTGATTGTGGTCTAAAAATACTGGAATCAACATATGAAATATGCACCATGTGTTCACCACCAACTGAAATTGTTTAAAATAAGGTCTCCTAGGTTGCTGAAACCCAGGAAGTGACCTCAGTGTCCTTAATAGCAGCTTAAGCCCAGAAAAGATCAGAACAGAAAATTAGACACAACTGGCAAAGTCACAATAAAATCAGTAAACATTAGTTTATTGAAAACATTCTGTCCAGCATTTTCTTAATGTGATATCAAATAAATATTCAAATGGATTAAAAAATGCCACAGTGTAATGAAATATGACAAGGAGAAAGACAGAAAAACATGTAAATAACTCATGTTCAGACATCAGTAAAATGGGAATAAATAAAGGTTAGTCGATGGGTCAGGTAGAATCATGTTTGCACCCATTTATGAAGTTTCACATCACTTTATTTCATACATCCTGTTCTTGTTGTCTTCTCAACAGGGCTCTCTAATTCTTTAGATATAAAAACAACCTGATATTCTACTATAAAGACATGACATGAAAATAAGAAATATAATGTAAAGTCAGCAGCTGAAATATGCAATTTCATATTTTGATGGTTACATGAAAATGTTTAAAAAAGAAAACCTGATTCTGTTTTTTTGTTTCCTTAATGGACAATTTTACATTAAAGGTACTCTATTTCTCAAAAAAAACAAACTTTCAGTCCCGTATCTGAAATTGTCAGTGTCCCATGGCTCGTCAATTCCAGCCAGTTGTGGAGCACAGGTAGGGAAAATGCACCTCTGCAGTCCAAAGCAAAGAAGAAAAACTTGATGCTTACATCACAAACCTTTTATTTTTTTTTATTTATTTATTTTTTTTCTCATCACAACACTCTACATTGGTAAAGTTGCTCTGGGCAACAGTTCACTCAAGATGCACAAGGGAGAGAAACCTTAGCTCCGAATGCTGTCAAACTTGGCAAGATGCAGAGGAATGATGCATCTGTCTGATGTATCTGCAGAGAAATGAAAACACTATTACTTGAAGTCTCTTCTGGGCCCTACACTTTTCATCTACTGCCTGGGCTGCTTGTGATCGAATTGGTTCAGACTTACTTAATTACTGAGGTGTCTTCCTCCATCTATATACTGGCAGATGATTTGTGACTTTGTGTGTGTGTGTGTGTGTATGTGTGTGTGTGTATAAGAGAAAGAGTGAAAAACACATAGCGTCAGAGAAAGAGGAGTGAATGTGTGTAAGTATAAAGAATGTGAGTTGTTTTGAATTTTTTTTTAAATAGATTTTAACAGAAGTGTTGACACAATTGTGAAATGCAAAGACAACACACAGAACAACAATGTTTATATAGAAAAGAAAAAAAAAATTTATTCAGTATCTGCAGGAACATGGGTTTGTGTATGACTGCGTCCAAATGGAGGGAAATGAAAGTGTAAAGCATGGATGTAAAGAATACATACATTACACTGAATACAGAAAATAATGTATACATAATGGAAAATACTCTAACATTCACACGGTAAGAAGAAAAAATAGGTATTTGGACAATGACAGAGCTTAAGAAAAAAAGATGTGCCAAATGCAAGTGTGTATGAATTGTGTTCGTCATTGTGCTCAGATGTGATCAACTTTTCTAACTTTCCACATAATGAAGATTCTTTTTTTTTTTTTTTTTAAAGCTTTTTCCTACAAAACCAGTCTGCCAACAATGAGTGTTAATGGAGTGTGAAACTAATTCTTCCCTTCTGGATGGGGTTAATTTCATTAGGACAAACACAAAAGTCAATTAACTTGTCTGTCAGATTACCTGGGATATTTTTGAACCATCTAGGATTCATTTTATTGTCCTGTTTGGTGAAAGATATCCTTTTGGTTTGGTTCTGGTCTTCTTCCAAAGCAAATCAGCCACAACAAATTGACCGACATCTAAAAACATGACTGTGAGACGTGGATGGCATGTGCTGACAGTCTAAGGGACACACTAAAGGGACAGAGAAACTACTGACCAAAAGCCAATAAAACAAAGAAAAAAGGTGAAGCTTTATTGTTATTTATTTTACAAAGCATCAATAAAATCAGCCCTGAAAGTTAATTTGAGTAACTGTAAAAACTGTCATCCTCCCAATTTGCCCTAGTATAAAAGTCTGTTTTAATACAAAGATATTAAGCTCTTACAGTAGAAGAGAGTTAGAAGACAAACAGACTTGAAGTAAATATGTTTGCCAAAAAAAACAAAAACAAACAAACACACCAAACAAACAAAAACAAAAAAGTATTCTTTGCCAAAATAAAGCTGCTAGTCAAAAAGTTAGTCAACATATTTAAAAGGGAGTTCGAGTTAAAATGAAAATGGTGATATTTATTTGCATAATTCTCTTTATCTAATGATTTAGCTAAGCAACTGCATGCAATGCAATTAATAAATTTTAAAGATGCTTTTTTTTTTTTTCAAATCACTTCTTATGCCCATATGACTTATGTATTAGTAGATGGGGGCCTTTCATATTTTTTAACGTTAGTATGTTAATGTTTCAATGGATATAAAAGAAGCATGCACAAGCCATACAACTGGACCTGGAATAGTTATTCAGATTAAACTGCTTCTGGTTAATCCAACGGTATTAAATTTCATTAGGTTAGTAATTGATTGAGTTTAATTCCAATTTTCACTAATAACATAAAACTTCCCAAATTGACAAACTGCAAGCATCTATAATGTGCTATTAAAATCATAATATGTATGCCACTAATTTGAAAAATACATGCTTAAAAATCAACTTGAAGATGTTTGATCACATTAATTTTGTTATCAGTGAGGAATCTATGACAATGACAGATATGTTTCTGACTAACGTCCCAAATTTAAAGATCAATAATCAATAATCATGTTCATTCTAAAGGTCCATATCTATCCAGTGAGACAAAAAAATCTGGACCGACTACAGTACGTAGAGCACAAAGCTGACCGATTTTCAAAACTGTTCCTCTTAACAGCATTGCAGCTGTCCTTTGTGTTCATCTTTGCACATGAATACATATTCAGTATCCTTTTCGTCAAAGAGTTCCTTCATCATCATCATCATCATCATCATCATCAGCATCTTGCTGGTGTAAATCTCCGCTCCGCTTTTTCATATGTCAGTGACGCCCGTTCGTACTGATCCAGGATTTCACTATTCTCAAGAAGTCTACATGATGGAGACAATGCAACATAATGTAGAACATAAGCGGACACACACACACACAACAGGACAGCACATTTCTCACACTAAAAGACAGAACAATGGGTAGCACTTTATGTGACTGCTCCGTTATATGCAGGCATGAAGCTGCAAGCAGGACCTTTTATAGCTCTGCACTGAATTTTCTTTTTACTCAATTACAATTTATTATGAAGGATTAAAACAAAAGTTTCTCATCAGTTTTTTGCATCTCAAATTTATGCAACTAATTTGTTATACTAAATGTCTTAAATTGTGCTTACAGCAACCTCATGAAAGCGTAGTTGTGGAGCATGCACATGAAATGTTACACACAGGCATAAAATACTATCCTTCACAATTAACCAAACACAAAACCAAATACTACAAGTGACATAAATCATGCAAAACTACAGAGGAATTCTGTATGCGTGTGGTCAGTAAAGACCTGTAAATTGCAAAGAGCTTAATAAGATATTTAAATGGTCTCAATGTGCTTTTTTTTTTTTTTTTTTAAATGTGTGCAAAAATCCCACTGATGTAATTTAATGAAAACATCTGGGACTGTGTTTGCTTTGAAATTTGTGCTTTTACTTTTACATTGTTGATATAAATTATTTGCTGTAGGCCTTCTGGGAGAAAAAGAGGTTAGACATATTAATTGATAACAACTTCGACTAAAGATGCCTGAAAAAAGTCCATGCTAATGAATATCCACTGAGTGATAAAAATGTATGTCCTCAGGAAAAGAGGACATACAGTAAACTTGAGCATCACAAAGACTTCAAACAAACTCACTAGGAGGGCAAGATGGCTGCAAGCAGGAAAACCATCTTGGTGGAGATGAACAATTAAAAAACATAAAAAAACAAAAATATAAACTTGTGCAAAAATCACAGAAAAGGAAAAAATAACTTACATAAAAGTATATACTGACTGGGCAAATGATGACTACACAACAACATATAAAGATGTTGATTGTTGGATAAGGGTGCTTACCTTGAGATTGTCTCTTAGACCCTAGTTGTGTTGTACTCTGATTCATGTTTGCTCAAAGAGCCAATGAGGCAGAACCTGAAATGTCATGGCTCTTTCATTTAATATCAGATTCCTTTTGCATAGAGAGGTCAGAATGCATACTGTGCTACATAACAGCAACAAACTTCATTAGTGCTTTGCTAGTCTCTGGGAGCCTTGCATGCAGATTTGGAGAAAATTAATAAACAGTCAAGAACACTCTGGAAAGAGCACATAGAAAGTGCATGCAGGAGAAAGTTGCATGTTCAAAGTATTTTTTTTCTCTCCAAAGATGTACTCTGATACCTTCACATATTGTTTTTGTAAACATATACAGTTACTTTTCAAGCAAGGTGCAAGTACACAGTAAAATACTTCTTTTTTTTTATATAGAAAATCTTATTCATGCCAAAATGTTAAGCTATGTAGAATATAAGTC